TGTAGTAGTATTATATTAAATACCAAAAGACATACTATTTTTAAAGTGAAAAATATATTTTTTGTTTACATATTATGGATAAAATTACTTTTTATGTTGCAACGTGTTACTAATCTACGTTTAGTTTTATAAGCGATGTTAATAAATTACAAAATTATAATTAATACAATTGGTATGTTTTACGATTTACTGAATCACTTTTACACTATTTAACCAGAAAACGTTAGATTTCTCATCTGTCTAACAGCAGCTACAACTCGAGCACTGCATCCTGAGCTCCCGCTCTGATAATCTTCTGGTGATAGTCTTAATAATAAAGACATATGTTGAAGGTTTTCTGATAACGATAATCCAAGTTCTTCTAACACATTACCAAGGTAATCTACAATATATGTAACGTGCTTGATTAACAACGAAAATAATTTTATTATAATAAGTTTATTGTAGCACAAGGGAATGTACCTATATCAGTTGCAAGTTGCTTGCACGCAGCAGAGCTCAAATGACAAATTCCTAATGTCTGATCCAAAAACATTTGACACGTGCCCTTAGCAATAATGTCCAATAAAATACCGGTAAATCCAGATTCGGTTGAACTTTGCACATACTGTGGATCTGCTGCTTTCAATGCCTGCGTAAGGCTTGGATTTTCCCTAAGTAAGAATGGCTCTAAGTGTTGTGGTAATGTCATTAAGTATTGGCCAACTTGCGTTATGTATTCTTGTGGAGCAAAACTGTAATCGGGTAAATCGGCGCTCAATTGTGTAATTTTATTGGCCTCCATTGACCAGGCCGGTGCTTTTTGCACCAATAATAACTGTGTAAAGATTGGTGCAAAGATTACTTCGTATGTCGCGCGGTGTAAGTCCGAACAAAGTTTATGGATAGACTTTATTATGGGATCTAGAATTGTTTCTTCCTCTGCAAGAATAAGTAGTGTAAATATTGAGTAATGATTTTAGGCTTTCGAAACTCTATCTTTATATCAGTTACCCTTTTGGAATGATAAGACTAAGTTCTCCAAGTCGGTTTGACTTGATGCATTTAAAAGTAACTTCTTATACTGATTAAAAACACTGACATTTGTGCTTTGCAACTTATTATTAGCCTCAGTGATATCAATTACCAGCGATTTTTCGAACTGTTGAATCTGTCCCAAAAGATCACCTGCAATGAGAAGCTTTACTTTGTATTCGCTAAAGGGAAAGTTCAATATGTTACCTATAGTTTGCATTAGAGTAAGGCACATTTGGAACAAATTCCAATCTTCGTGTTTTACTTTTTTGCGCTCTAATTGCCATATAGCAGCTTGATATTTTTCAAGACATTTGTTGAAGTAACTCTGTAAAAACATATTTTTACTGTACCTATTTAATACGGATATTTTCTTAAATTTAGTTCTTAACGACATACAGACAACGATTTCAGTAATCCGGGGTAACCACAGCCTTCCGTAAAAAGTTTACATCTTTTATTAGCTTCGTTTGCGTATTCCATTATTCTGGAAATACTAAGAGAAAGAACATTGATCGTGTCGCTTAAATCATCATGTGTAGATTTCATCGATTGAAGTTGAGACTCGAGCTGAGCTGTTTCATAGATATTATACTTTGTAACATGTGGAACATAAGGCGCGTAGATGGCTTGCGCTAACGATAACAGTTTCTGATTTTGCAATTTCCCATGGGACGACGTTTCAATCGCGCCTTGCAGATTTACCGCAAAATGTCTCGTAATTTGTTTAAGTTCAAGTAACAATGATAATTGCATAGCTGTCGAATGCTGCTTCAATATCGCCTCTATACATTCTGGAATTCCTGGATCTAAACTTCGCAAAAGATCAGCGTATACCTCAATTATCACGTCAATCGCTGTATTGGGAAATACTTGATGATACCACTTCACCTTTATCAAAATTATAGTTTAGACCAAACTTTTACATTAAATATGCTAATA